TCTCTCTCTCTCTCTCTCTCTCTCTCTCTCTCTCTCTCTCTCTCTCTCCCCCTCCCTCCCTCCTACCCTCCTTCAATCCCTTCCTCTTTCTCTTTTATTTTTTGGCTATGGCCTTCAGAACAACGTTGAACATAACTGCAACACCAACTAAGGTGTTGACTCTTTTCCCTAATCACATCACAGAAAAACATCTACTAATAAAGGGAAACTTACTTATTTTGATAAATTGTTCCATTAGAAACCCAGAGCAAACATCATATTTAATGGCAAAATATCAGAAATCCATAGGCTATGCATAAAACCTTTCTTTAGTACTTTTTAAAGTCTATATTGGGAGTCGTGATCCTTTCCAAACTTTTGTCCTACACGTGTTTATTTATGTTCTTTGTTTTTCATTATTCAGTTGCTAAAGTATGTTTGTTTTTGGCATGGCATTATGCTAGTCTTTTACAGTAATTTGAGACACAGTAGCACTTTTAGATGTCCTTAGAAGACTTTAATAAGAGAAGAAGTACTGGTTTCTTGATGAATTCTTATCTTGACTAAAAAAAAAGAAAGAAACTTTCAACACCAACTGTCCCTGAGTCTGAGTCTGATGTTCTTGTGTGGTACAAACTTGAAAAGCCACTGGACTCATCTTCACCTCTGTATCTATGGGGCTCACTTCTTCACTTCATTCTCATCTCTGTTCAGATGTCACCTCATCAGTGTTTCTTCCTAGACTACCCGGGGTAGCACTTCTCCCACTTTTCTAGCCATCCTAGTAACACTTAGAACACTACTTGAGAGTAGAGTATATATTACTTACTGTTTGTAACTTTGTTTACTATCGGTCTCCTCATACTAAAATAAAAGTTCAGGTATAGGCCAACCTTGCTGTTTAGTTCACTGATCAATTGTTCTGAAAATAGTGTCTTGAATGGAGTAAATGCCTAATAAATATCTGTTGAAAGAATGAACCCTCAGAGAGTAAGACACACACAGAATAAGAATATGAGTTAATTGATCTAACTCTGTATGACACCATCCTAAGTGATCTAGAACAGACTTCCCTCACAGTCTGTGATTTAGTAATTCTGGGATGGGACCCAGGAACTTGCAAGTTCTAGTAAATTCCATGGTGATCCTCATGCAGCTAGGAGACCACATACTTTGACAATACCTAATTTAGCAAAACTTTTGGGTTTAGTGAAATAAATTTTTGTGTCATTCAAAACTGTACTTTTTGAACAAACGAATTGTTTAAATTCTTTATCAAATCAATTCATCTTCTTTCCCTTTACATTTCTTTAAGAATAATCAATAACTTATTCAAGATTGTAAATTTTTTTACTTAATTTTCTATTGGCTATCTAATTGAAAAAAATGTTATACCTATAATCAGGTTACTAGGGTCAATTCTTTAGTAATGAAGTAATTGTACATACAATGCTACTTTTGTTTGGGTTTTGATTAATTTATCTCAAAGCTTAGAAAAGTCCTATGTTCTGGTATTAAAAATTCTTATTAAAGTTGAAGTCTGCAATAAAAGGGCAAAGAAATGAATATTCTGTCCCTCTTTTTAGCCTTACTTCACATAATCTCATTTTCATGCTCTGTAAGGTTTTAACATGTGTGAGCGGTATGTGTCTTTTCCACATGGAGGAACTGTGGCTCTGAAAGGCTATTTTCTTCTCAAAATCACCCAGCTATAGAGTTAGAACCAGAAGCTCACAGCAATGTTAGATCACAGTGGCTCCCAAGACAAGCATTATGACTTTGTTAGTTGCACATGCTGCAAATGGCAGGGGTGGATTAGAAAGCAAATTTCACAGCCATGTGGGGGAATGTGAAAAGGTAACTAATCAATATTTGTTAAGTGACTCAACCTGAGGATGAAAGTTATGTTAGTTAATGAGTGTTAGATTCAGAAACAGAAAAACTGACAAATTCAAAATACCATTTTAACGTTCTGTGTACCCCATAATTTCCAGTCTTTTGTTCCTGAAAATTCAGGGTTGGGTCCTACCTCAATTTCTAATGGTATTATATAGAATAAAGGCATCTTAAGAAAAGCAGGTCAAATACACCAAATTCCCCGAATGCATCCCCTCCAGTTGCAGGAAGTAGTTCATACATTATTGCTCATACATGTGTGTCTAGCTGTGGCTGCTATCGCGTGGCTGTTATGTCATTCTCCAAGACATCTCAGCCTAAGCTGAAGCCACAGTGGACCACTGGCCCCTTCTCATTTCATTGCTTCTGCCACGTGCTTTCTTCTTTCTGTAATACCATCATCCAGCCTCACTGGAAAGGTTTTGTTAGTATTTTTGTTTCCTTACTTTGTTGTGTCTGATTTTCTAATCACTCATGAACATAAATTATTTTTAATGGTGAGGAAATTACAATTTTCAATAAATGTCATAAAGCTCTAGAGCCCTGATTCCTGATTTAGAACTCTTGCTGTATGCTGAAAAGGTGATCCGAAGCTCGGTGGCACTCCTGGGTCCTGCCATCATACCTCTGACAGGAGCTCATCCAATGTCCCAGGCAACCCCAGAGCTGGAGAGCACACTGGGGCAGGGTCACCAGAGCTTACTTGTCTCAAGTGAGTCCTGAGTATTTCTGAGGACTTCTACACTGTGTCCTGCAGGTCACTGAGCCTCTTTTCTCCCATCACGGAAGGAATAATCTTAGGTATAGTTCCCTCATTTTCCTACATTGACAGTTCTTCATCCCTTAAGATTCAAATCAAAATGCCCTTTCATTCTGGATTTCTAGAAAGACTTAGAAGATTTTTCATCTGCGATCTCAGGTCACTTCACTTACAGCCCCATTTGGCCTGGTCTCAGACAACCGTCATTTCTATCAATGTATTTCTCAATTGATATTAAGCAACTTTAAATTGGAAATAGGGCTTTCTCTTATTGCATCCTTCCATAATACTACAGGGTGTCACCTTGTGTTACATAATAAAATGTAAGCTGATTAAGACAGCTATGTGACGTAATTTCATCCTAAAATAATATTAGCTGATTGTCTTGAATTATGATATCCAAAATTGCACCTGCCTCACTTAATCTAAAGAAAAAAGGATATTAGACTCTTGTAAAGTATGTGAAACCCATTTTAGTGGATCAATTCTATTCAACCTGGTAGTCTTTTTCATTGATGTAAAATAGAGCAAAGCCAAATATGAAAATTTGTTTCATATTTTTATACCTGTGCTACCTAGGTTTTGTTTTTCTTTTTTAAAGAAACAGCTCTCTGACCAACAACAAAGTCAGCTTACCCCATTATTATTTTTTAATGCAGTATGTATTTCTTCATAATTGACTTTTTTTGTAAGTCTTGTCATACCATCTTTACTCAAAAATGGCTATTCACATAAAATCTAATATACCAAGTCCCAAAATAACATTCTCTCTAAGGCAAATATGCTATCATAAACTAGGTGCCACAAAATAAAAGATATTCTAACACTATATTGAAAAATAATTGTTTTTGAGCTCTAAGTGCTTAGAGAATAAGTAAATGCATCTGCCTATAACTTTCAATGTCACTCTACTATTCAGAGAAGTAAATGACAGTATAAGCTCTATGTTAGTATTTTATACAGAAATACAGAAGAAGGGAGGCAACAAAGAATCTGAGGCTAAGATAGGCTGACAGATTGATTTAGTAGCACCAGGAACCCGCTGTATTTCAGACACAATTGCAATGGCTCTCATGTAATGGAACTATGAGTTTTCAAAGATTTATGATAAACACTTGCAGCAGTAAAACTAAGTTAATAAATTAAGAGAAACAAAACCCTTTCCAGTATTCTCACCTGAAGGCAGATCCTGCATTTTGGGAATATGAAAATACTCCTTGAAGTGCCTCAGCTTATCTTCTTCATCGAGGTGGAGGGCCACCCTCTCATCTGTCGGGTGACATCTAAGTTCAGATGCCACACGTTGCACTGTGTCAGCTGGTAACTCAAGGGGGAAAGGCTCCATTACAAGTTGTTTGCTAAAAATGAAAACAAAATTTAAAAATAATAAAGCTATCATCATTTTCCTGCAGAAAATTAGCCCTTTAGGTAAAACACCTTTTTTTTTTTTTGTAAAACACCTTTTGTTTTAACTTAGCTCCCCATCTTCCTAACCTCAGAAATAATATAATCAACCAGACAGCATCAAACTTCATGCTTGATTTTTTTCTCATGAATAAAATGAAGAAAATAATAACTTAGAGATATTGTAGGGATTAAATTAAGTAATGGTGCTCTCAATAAATATTAGCTCTTCTAATTTTTATTTTCTGGAAAATAAACCATATAGTGACTTTCAAATACATATAACTTCATCATCTTTTCCTCTAGATGCCTTTTAAAAGATAACAGTAAAGATGCTTTTTCGAAAAGACTAGAAAAACAATTCCCACCTAGCTTGTCCTTCTCCCTATTCCACCTCCACTCTCTCATTGTCAAGGATTCTTAGATCATAGTTTTAAAACTATGGAGATATATATAATAGAAGCCTAAGAAATTTTTTACTGTGAATAAAAACAATATTGATTAAAAAGATAACATTTAACATTATTAAATAATGTTAATAATTTGGAGCATATTAAGACCAAAGAGATCTACTTGCTGTTGCTAATGAGAAATTTATTGAAACTTATTTTACTACCACATATAATATATATGTGTGTGTGTGTGTGTATATATATATATATATATAGATAGATATATATATCTATAGATATATAGATATATATCTATCTATATATATATATATATCTTGGAACAAAACAAGACTGTTTGGTGTTTCTCGAACCCACAGTATATTCCATTTAATCATCATTTAACATTCCCCACCTTTTTTGGAAAGAAAACTTAATCTTTCAAAGGCAATAAATGACAATAGAGATTTAAGAACACATTTATAAACTTCACCCAAGTTTTATACTTATTTATAATTCTCAAAGTTTTAGTTTTTTGAAATTGCATAAGGATAGTATTAGAGAAAAAAAGTCCTCTTGCTAGCTTGATTTACATATGTATACTTTTGCTGCCTTCACTTCTACATTCCCCCATTCATTTATTTACTCTTTTAATAAATATTTATTGAGCATTTACCATGTAGCATCATGCACTGGTGGAACAGCAGTGTATAAGGTAGTGCATAAGTAGTGACTTGTATAGTTTATTTTTTAGTAGAGGAATAAAAAAATAACTAAATTATGTAATTTCATATAGTTCAAGAGCTATGAGCAAACAGAGCAGAGTAGTGGAATAGAGAACCACTAAGGTATGGAATATATGATCATTTTTGAATCGTATTATGGAGGAGACCTGAATTTGAAGAAAGATAACAGCAAGTGCAAAGGCCCTGAGGTAGAGATGGAGTTGGCCTGTTCAACTAATGCACTAAGGGAAGTAGGGGGAGGGCGAGACTATGATGTAAGAAAGGCAGAGGCAGAGTTAGTTATGAAGAACTTTGAAGGCCAGGAAGGAGTTTGAAGGTTTTTCTGAGTTTTACGGGAAATCTTGTAGAATCTCGAGTAGAAAAATGATGTGACATAATTTTACATTACATAAAAATCACTTTTTCTGCTCTCTGTTATGTTATGAGTTTAAAAAGGGAGGTAAATTATCTTAGTAGCTCAGGGGGAAATGATAGTAGATTAAATGAAATGAGGGGAAAGGTAGAGGGGTGTCTGGATTTACAATATAGTTTGGAGAAAAAAAAGGTAATCTCTAGTGAAGACAGGGAAGGGGATGACTTTTAGGTTTTGGATTTGAACAAATATGTTAAAAGCAGTGAAATAAGAAATCCCTAGGGAAATAAACTTTTTGAAGAGGGAAATCAGAGTTCTATTCAGGACATGTTCAGTCTCAGATAAATATTGAACATCTGAGTAGAAATATCAAGCGGGCTATTGAATGTTTAAGTGTGTAGCTCAGGGGAATATTGGATCATAAGACAAAAGTGATATTTTTCAACTCATAGCCTAGAATGTCTAGGGACCAACTAAAACTAACATAGATAAGTCAGAATCACCATGTAATTATCTTTCCTCTCCTCCCCACTCTCCTTCCTCTTACGTCTGAGTGTTATACAATGTCAGGAAAATAGACTTCCATCAGGTCCCCTAAACTTAAATTCTTTTGCTTGTTTGACCTCTTCCTTTCTCAGCTTCCACTGTTCTCCCCTGATGAGCCATCCTTTATACACCCAAATAAGAATATGAAGCTTCATCTAAGAATGTTTTTAGCTTTGAAACCAGTAGTGGCTTTTAGTTGCTACGATCCACACTTTTGTACATAAGTCAATGGTCTCAACATTGCTCTTGATGGTTCTTTAAGTACCTGACCATACTAAATTATTATTTGCCTTCTCCATGAAATTTTCTCTGTGATTTTTCTCATGCCATTCCCATTGCCTAACATGTGCAACTTCCCTTTCTACATAGTCAGATCCTAGTCATCCTTCAAAACCTTAGCCCGAATGTGACTTTTTTCATGAGTCATGATGTCTCAGCTAAAAGTAGCCTTTCCTCCTCTGAACACCTGTAACACTTATGAGCACACATCTTATGACAAGTATACTCATAATAAGTAGTACATTCTGCCAGTTATTCTATTTAGATGCATATGTGAATGGGAAAGATCAAACATGCTTGCCATGCTGACAATATGATTCTAAATGGGTCTCTACCTACAGCCTTCTAATGAAGGAAACTGCCTTCTGAATAGCGATGACTGTGACTCTATCACTTGTTACCAATTGCCTGGTCACCATTTATTAGATCTCTCCTGGGCACTTGACAGTCCACTAACAATAATGGTGATCTGTGAATGACTTGCTGTAAAAGCTCTGACCAAACAATCATAACGATGTTGGGCTGAGCATATAATCAAATTATTTCAGGAATCTGAGCTGAGGTACAGTTATTCATGCATTTAGCAAAAATTTTTAAAAATCATAGGGAGAACTTGAACCTCTCACTTGATTTTTATTTGCCTCTTGTTTCTTATTTCCCCTCCCCCCCCTTTGGCCTATTCCCTTTATCTCCTTTTATTTCTTGTTTCAGCCCTCTATTCAGTCTGCAAAGCACCACAGGCTATGAATCCATTTACTCATTTTAATCAACCCTTCCCATCCAGTCCTGGCCAGGCAAAGAAAGAGTAAAGTGGTTGGTTCCACTTCTGGGCCTGCACAGCCCAAGTGTCCCACCTTCACTGGCACTGATAGTGTGATATCTCTCAGTAGAATAGTCCTTCAGTATATCACACTTCCTCTCACCCTTTCACCCCACACAGCCTCCGACAGAAGTAAACACAATCCTCAGTGCCCATAATAACATAGAGCCCTCCCTCACTCCAAGGAAGCAACTTATGAACTCTTAATAATTGCTGCTTAGTTCTGCATTCAATCTACCAGCTAAGACAATTAGTGCTTTGCAAATCATAATTTATGATTTGTTTAGGTTTACCATTTCCAAGTAAATTGACGTGCTGTTATTTTGAAACAAATTCAATCTAAGTTAAACAAAACTTCACATTTTATACCAGGGATGCCAAAACAAGCTATACAAATAGACACTTAGGTCAACGTTGCTCAAGTAGTAGTTCACCATAATCAGAAGTGTCTGGACGCTAATGGTAACCACTTTGAGCACCTCTTGTAACTGCAGAAGTCAAACGTGATTTGTATTCATCTTTTGTTATTGGTATATATTGAGTATTACAATTTTAGTAGATTTTTCCTTTCTTAAAATGTTTATACATTTTTTTGGCACCCTTTGTATTTTATATATTTAGTGCTAATTTTATTAAGAAGGTGGGAATATACACATATAGTCCTGGGCAGGACACCTAAATTTTTTGTGCTGCAATGTTATATAAAATTAAGTTAAATTCTACTTTCTTCAGAGGATCATGATTAGGATCAAAGGAAATTAATGAAGTAAAGTCCTTTATAAAGAGATAAAATATATTCTCATAATATCTTTCAATATTAATACTGGTGTGGGCCAACCGTGTAGCCCCCTTCCCCCACTAAGAAACTTTTAAGTTTTCTTTCCTATAGAAAGGTTAAGTATAGAAATGTTGTCTCCTCCCTAGTTTCTTAGTTTCTTAGCTCCTGGCTTTGATTACTCTTATAATCAGTTTGTGAATCCTCTCTGACAACAATACCTTTTGATAAAAATTGCTTTTTTCCTCTCAATTTAGCTTTTGAAATTTTGTAAATTGTATTTTCACAATTTTATTTAGGCAGCTAAAACTTCATAGATAAAATTTCTGTAGTAACAAGAGTTGATTGTTTTTATGGAATCATGGAAATCAGGGTCTCCTAGTAGCCCACGGGTCGAAGGTTAAAAAGTTAAATAAATGACTATGTGTACCCAGTGGTTAATCTTTACACACTTGCAGATTTCATGTTTGAAATGAGCAAATTATACACACGAGTTTAAAGTTTATAACCTGGTAAAGCAAATTATAAAAGAAGTGTGTAGCTTTTTATTGAGAAAAAGGAAAAGAAAATGTCATTTAATATACATGCATAGAGGAATGTTCTTTAAAGCTATCATTGTTTCAGAAATGAGTGCCATCGCTTTGTCACAACTGCATATTTCATATCTAGGGTTATATCAATTACATACTGAACTTCACATTAATAAGATCAATGCATTTGCTCCAATTTACTATCTAAATAACACCTCACCCTCCTTAAAGTAAGAGCAGAAAACAAAAAACACCTTCTTTTCACTACATAGAAAAAACTATCTCAAGTTTCCATTCTTAGGCAAATATTTTATAAAACGAAAGTAGAAGAAACCCTGCTTAAGAAATAGACATTTTCACTTCTCTAAATATTTAATATGACTAATAGCAACCACGGGACAACTAGAGTTAACAGAAAGCAAAGGACTTAAAGCTTATTTAATGATCTGAATTTTGATCTAATTTTATCATTTAAACCCAAGGAACCTACAGCATTAACTTTAATAAAAAATCTTCATCTTATTTTAGATGAATTAAGTGTAGTATCGATTTTCACTACATTGGTAAAGATCTCTTCATTTAACACAAAATTTTATGAACTATACAAATGATCCCTAGAAGTATAGTCTTAACAGAAAATATTAAAGGATGCTGTACTACTTTTATGAGTACAATTTAAAGCAAAAAAAAAAGAAGAAGAAACTAGCGAAAGAAGCCTGTAAAGCACTGTGACAAGGATACTAGCAGAGAGAATATCCCTTTGGAAAAATTACTGAATATATATTTGTGTACAGAGTGTATGTCAGTGTCTCAGTGCTTACCGGCTAGAATTCCGACGGGGTTCACAGATCTGAGTCGCGTTTAAAAAGAAAACCAAAACACAAACCAACCTCTCAAGAGTTCCTTGCAGATTTATAGGACAGACCTCAGAGTGAGAAATTTAAGGCACTTCTGCTCAGACTCCACCCTATGGGGAAATTTGTGAGCTAACTTTAGTTCCTCCCACCCTATCTAACCTGACTGTGAATCTCAGGTCACAGACAAACCTAAGCAAAAGGCTGCTCTTGAAATTCTCTGTTTCAAACACTGGAGGCTCTGCTTTGGGCACTTTCCCCTAAGCAGCTCTGCCCTTGAGACTCCAGTAAACACTTCCTTGCCCTCCACGTAGGTAGTCTCTGGGCCTGTGAACTATATCCCATAATAATCCTGTACAGTAAGTACAGTATCCTCATTTGTGTGTGAGCTGAACAAATGAGTTTGTCCCGGAACTAATTTGCATTCCTTCTTTGCTTGCTTTGGGCTCTGGAATAGACAAAGGACTTGAGTAAAGTTCTTACAGAAACTCCGATATTGAGGCAGTATCCCACTGTCAAATGCATTGTTAAGTTTCCAGTCTGAAGGCAGAATTTAACATTTAATGGATGAACATTTTAGTTAAAAGTTTAAAATAGTCTTTCAGTTCTAGAATATACTTGATTGTCCAACAGGTGTGTTTTAAAAACACCTAGGTCATAAATCTAGACAGTAAACAAGGCAATCAAGGAAGAAACAGTTAGAGCTTGCAGATCAAGCAGAAAGTAGCCTTGGAGACTTTATAAATGCACATTGATTTTTTAAGCTTGTGGACTATCTATTGTTCTACCTCCATGATCTCTTTCCGCTTATTTCTAAGTTTGGGTCTTTTTGGTGACGATCCTTTTAGGTATAAAAATCAAGAGCAAAGAGTTTCAGAATTAAGACCAAAGATAGAAACTGGGTGTGAATAATTGAATCACTTTTGTATACCTGTCCCTTGTTGACCTCCCACAACACTTCAGATAAAGCATCATTTGATTCAATCATCTCCTACTATATGTTCCCTGTATAACCCTGGACAATTCATTTAATCCGTGCTGAGGCTCAGTATCACATCTTTCAAATGGAGACATAAAAGTAACTTTCCTCAAAAGATTACTGATATATATTTCACCAGTGTACCAAGACACATGAGTCAATGTGACTTTTTTTTTTTTTTTAACCACATCAAAAGTACTGTCCTCCTGTCTCTAAGAGAAGGGGATAAAATAGACACTGTCATAAGCGACTGCTAGGCTCACAGTTCATGCTGCAGTCTTTTCCTGCAAGTCATGGGGACTAACCCCGAAGAGACTCTTAGACCCCAGGATCTACCTGGCACTGATTGAGGCCTCTGTGGTAGCCATGGCACGAGCAAAGAGCAGAGCATGCAAGATCTTAAATGCCTTTCAATATGCTCTTTACTCAAACATCAATCAACACACCAAACAGTAAAGCATCAATCATCAATACACCAAGCAGTAAAGCACACAGAGTAATACAATAATTGGGTTAAATAGAGTAACAAACCAGTCCCAAAGTCAATCAGAGTCCTGGTGGAGCCAGAAAGGGTGGCTGGTTCTGGAGGTCGGTCCGGTAGTGGTTCGGTTCGAGCGGGGCAAAGCAGAGTGGAGGGTTCTGGGAGCAGAGTGGCAGCATGGTCACGTCTCAACTGAAACGGGCTCTCTGAGCTGCAAAAGTCTGCAGTTCTTATGCAGTTCTGAGTGCCTTCCTGATGTCACCTTATCTGTGTAGCCACCTGGCAACCCTGACATCCTCATATCTCAGTAGCAGACCTTCAGAGTGTAGCTGGTTACACCCAACTACCAGGGCAACCAGCCAGCTCCCTGGGCGTTGTCTGCTAAGTTCTCTGCACATAAGTTACTCTTACTCATTCAATATGGAGTCACTCTTGCTCACACAAAACTCATTCTAACAGCTTCCAGGGATGCTCTACACAGATGCAATTACTTGAATACAACTGATTGAACCGTGAAAAGAGAGTATATCACATTTTATCAATCCTATCTTTACAGTAACCCTGGAGAGTTAAGTAGAATAGCCTCATTTTGTTAAGTTGGAAGTGTAAAACTTTAAATTTAATCAGGGTATCTCAAAATTTATACTTTTTTTTCCTGTTTTGTTTATTCCCTGTACTGTAAGAACTTTCAATGATTTGCCAAGTTCGAATATCCAGGAAGTGAGCCTTAGGGTGGAGTCTGTGCCATTGTTGGTAGGAAAATCAGTGTTTTAATTACTGACTATGGTTACAGATATGGAAACAGAGATAGAGATTGACATATCAAGGTCTTGCTTTCACACTGTTTCTTCTAAAATCTTTTGGTAATAGTGTTAAAAACCATTCCATCAAAATATTATCTTAAAACTATTATTTGACATAGTCGCTTTTAAAGAACTTGTTTGGAGGTCTTAAGCTAAGCTCTTATTTCTTATATTTTGCAAATCTCTTTTTAATTTGTTACCTTTATTCATTAAAAAAAGTATTAACCATGTTCTTTGCACTAGGAGAAAAGCTAAATGCCAGGAACATAATGGTGAGCAAAATCTTTATAATAACATAAGCCTCTAAAAATACAAAGGAATTGTGAGATAGTGAGTCATGGGGTGAGGAGTGGGGTGATGAAAACAAGATTCCCAGCAGGGCCAGCTGTGCAGGGAAAAGAAGGAACAGACTGTTCCTTTCTTGAAAATGCAGGAACTGTTCCAAGGATAAATATTTGTACCAATTTAGAGTTGTCTGTTAACTTCAACGAATGTCACCTTGCTTACATGTATGACTGAGTGCCAGAGACTGATTTTATCCTCCTCACAGTCTCCCATGAACGGAGCTATGTAAATATTTGTTGAATTAGTTAATATTTTCAAAAAAAGTTTCGATTCCTTTCATTAAAATTAACAATTGGGATTATAGGAGATGTTCTGTTCTCCCAAAGGATAATTCTTAAACTGTGAACTTTATTCTTATTCTTCAGGGCTTAGTCACCATGGCTAAGCCAGTTTCTGGTATAAAATAGATTTCAATGAGCGCTTGCTGTATTATTAACCAAATTAAATTTATTGTAGCAAAATGTTTCTCTAAGAGTCCAAGGCTACAGTTCCAACAGTGATACACTATTGCTGAATGTGCGATAAATTTAAAAAAATGGGTAAGGAGATTGATAAGTAAAAATGGTGAGGCTTGATGGACAATTCAGGTCCCACTATTAAAAGTGTTTTGTAGAAGTGAATGAAAACTACAACCTTGGGGGCCAGTGGGGAAGGACAGATACAAAGCTACATTCTCAAACCTGGGTGGCAGAATATACACCCCAAAATATGATTGTATGAATTTAAGATTTGCCATCCAAAAATATGTGGCTTTGGTAGATTAATTATTTTAAGCAATAGCCATTTGAAAATCAGCAAGTGCAGGGAGAAGCTTTCTCTGAATTCCCTTTATCTGCCTAGAGACAGATCCTCCAAAAGGAACTCAAGTGTTGTAAGTCCTCTACCTGGGAGTTTCATCAACCAGGGAAGATTGGCTCTTCTCACAGAAAAGGCTGGAAGTAGACAGTACACACAAACAACTTTGTCACAAAATTTATACCTCCCATTTATTTTTCAAGAGCCCATTTGTCTTTCCTAAAAATCATTTACTCTCTCCAAAGAGGCCTTCATCCCCCCATTACCTTTCCCTATTTAGATAGGATTTAAGCCTGAATTCTAAGGTACTTCAGTGAATTACTCATTTTCCCTGAGTATCTCCTATGTATACATGACAGACATACACATGTTAATAAATTTCTGTTTTAGTTAAATAATTTATCTCTTGCTAACCTGTCTTTTATTACAGGGATCCCAGCTAAAAACTCAGAAGGGTAGAGGGAAAATTGTTCCCCCCCTCATAGTATATAGGAAATTTCACATTAATATTTTAAATGAAATAAAAACTTTTTAGGAGCTCACTTCTCATTTTTGTAGAGACAAATTTAATCTGAGTCATTATTGGGACTCTCTTTCCTTTTTTAAGGGGATGATGGAAATGGCCCAGGGTTTTACCGCAGCAGAATACTCTGGGGTCAGCCTGTTAGCTTTCTTCTCTCTCTTCTCTTCTTCCTCTTTTTTCCCCACCACACCACCCTGCATACCCAGGCACTCTTTGCCCTTCAACTTGGGTTTACCATAACATAATATAACATAATATAAGCTTTTCCAAAACCCAGGTCAGGGCCATCTCATCAAGCATTTTTCTATTTTGAAGCCAAGGAATGCAGACTCCTCTATATATGGGTAGGGAAAAATATAAAGAACAGAACACACACATACCAAACATTCTCTTTCTTCTACTCTTTCCCTGCTCCTTTCCTTTCCCCCCTCTCCTCTACCCTACACTTTCCTCCCTTCACACTCTTCTGTCCTCTCTACTCCCCTAACCTTCCTTTCCTTCCCCTCTCCCTCATCATTCCCTCCCTTCCCCTTCTCCTCTCCTCTTCTGTCTCTGCCTCCTCCTTCCCTTGCCTTCCCTCCAGCTCTCCCCGCTCTTCTTTTCTATTTTCTTCTTCCCCATTTCTTCTCCTCCTGTCTCCTCCTCTCCCTTCTCCTCTACTCTCTTCCTCTCTTCTTTTCTCCCTTCTACCTCTCCCTTCTATAGCAGGGAAAGCAAATCACATAAGTGTATCAATAAATCACTAGGTTATATTTAGATAATCTGTCTTCTCCTCCCCCTAAGGCACATACTTTAATTAAAAAAAATCCCACAATGGGAAGGGACTTTACTTTCTTCTATAAATTATGTTTTCTGGTTTTTGGAGAAGAACAAAGGCTCATTATAAGCAAATGGTAATTTGCCAGTTGTTGATTAAAATTCATTTCAAAACTAAAATTCCTATAAACCACTTACTTTTTCCTATATCGAAATTTCTCTCTCACCATTAAATTCACAGAGGTGTTTAAGACAATTGATATGTTGTGCTCTAGCAGGGCACATTTCATAGTTCTCTATTATGTGTAATTGTATGCCATTTTTCTCACATGTCTGTTTACATGAAGAATTAGAATTAAAACAATCTATTTTTTAATCTGTTTAAATAATAAGTGGATAAAAGAATCAAAGCTGAGCTACAAAGAGTTTTCAAAATAATTTTGAAAT